GAGTCCTGCTCGACGTCCAAGCAGCGAAAGAGCATCTCCACGTCTCCGTTCCACGACCTCTTTCTTCGCACCCGAATCGGTAGGCAGTGGACCCGATGGGCCTTTTGTTGGGAAAACAGCCCGATACGGACGAAGATGATGATGTGTTCGATTGAGCCACCTTGCCACGTTGGTAGCTTCTTGTTACTAGAAGCGATGGCCTCCAAGTTCACCTGATTTAATAAAGAAAACAGAAAGAATTGATGACTAGATCAATGGCAGGGAAAAAAACCTTCTTGCACAAGGGTCCGCGGGTGGGACGAAGTTGGTTGGTTGACAGGGAAAGATCTTGGAACTTGACACCGGATGATCGAGCCCTTGTTCAACCAGGGAAAAGAATGAGAAGTTGTGTCTCGTTGAGCTCCCAACCAGAAACAGTTGACCTGATCAGGTCAGCAAACCCAGAAAACGCTCTTCATCTCAGCTGGGGCTGGAAATCCTCCTTCCACAGACTCCCTTGTCAAAGCGGTCTAGCAGGGTTGCCCCAGTCCAAGGTGCCCAACCTCGATCGACCGTGCCTACGACCCCCAACCTCCCCACCAACCTCTCAGAAAAAAGGCCGGGACCCGTCGCTGTTTCAGCAAATCGAAGAGAAAAGAGAGGCGCAAGCAGTGCCTTTTCAGCATTGTTTTATGGCCAGCATAACCATTTCTTGGCCGTTGGAGGCCATTACTACTAGTAACAAGAAGCTACGCACGGTGGAGGCCATATGAGGCCATCGCCAAAAAAAGGTTGGAGGCCATCGCTACTAGTGTAGCAAATAGCTACCAACGTAGCTATTGGGGAAGCCTTGCCCATTTCGGTCTGAAGTTTTCGCGCTCGCGCCGGTCGCCGGACGGTGTCTGACAGTCCCCGACCTCTTGGCACAGGCCTGTCGCAACTCCTTTTTGGAGATCGACCCACTGCCGTCCTGAGCAGCTCTGGGTGTGAGTAGATGGCAGCAACCTTTAAAAATGGTGCTTGGTGTTCTTAGATGACCTGATCATACTACAGGCATCCTCCTTTTAAGGCATCCCGTCCATCGAATGGCCCTCCTGATCCAGCGCCAGCCAGGCACGGTGCACCGAGCCGAAGCAACGTTCCGCCCAGGATTTGAAGGAGCTCAAAAGCTGTGCTGAAGGCTGGTCGTACCTGAGTGGAACGACTAAGGCCCTAGGCAGGCCGGCTTGTTTGCTTTCTTTGCCGTGCTTGCGACGTGTGGGAGTGTGGAGTGTTGGGAGTTGGGCTTGGAATGAGTGACGTAGTGACGTGCCCAAATAGGCGGCACCGGATTTTGCCGTGGCGGGGGGTGAATTATGTTCCTTTCCTTGATGTTGGTACCAGAAAAGACACTGCCACTTGGCAAATCCAAAGGGTTGTCTTAATATGTCTTAATGGCTTTGTGTCTCTTGACTTGAACGCGTGAGGAAAGCCCAGTTTCATCTCAAGGATCGATGAGTCAACCTCCCCTGAGTCATCTCTCCCCCGACGTCCTTTTCCCCGCTCGGGTGGTCAGGGTTCTCACTTGGGCGAGGGTAAAAGGTGGCGAGGCGGCCCCGACATCCTGAGAGGAAACCGCTCCCCCAACCTTTCCGCAGCAGGAATTTCCTCACGTTCTCTGGATTCCTTGCAGGGCGAGCAGATCGAAAACGTGGTTAGGGCCTGTGGCCTGAACAAGGAAAAACATGAAAGACACAACTGAAAACAGGAGAAAGCATCCCTTTGTCCTCTTACAGAGCAACTCTTCCAAAAGAAAAATCTCCGACAGATCATCGGCTGACATTGATTTGGGTGCGGATGGTTGCGGATGCATTGACTTGCCATAGGCCACCTTTAGATTACGACAGCTCGCATGGCAGCCGCCCGCGAACTCATCACAGTGGTCCGCGACCTCTTTCAGCTTCGATGTGGTCCGCACTTCGGAGTGATCCTCCAAGTTCAGGCGCGCTGGGTCAAGGTTCAGAACCTGCGCTGTGCTTCCGCGCATGAGGAAATAGATGGAACTAGACATAGACATAGTCTAGTCTACACATTGTCATAGACGACATAGACATAGACATACACTGTCTAGTCCACACATGGTGCCAATGCGGTCCCAACACCGACCCAGTCCGTCGGCTCCAACGAACCCCGAAAGCCGAACCCCCCGCTGGGCGGCCTCGAGAAGGCTGCTGGGTAAGGTGGTGGTTCGGACGAGCTCCTCGAAATAGAGCACCAGTGTCTTGCCACTCAAGACCCAGGGCAGAGTCTCCAAATTGTTCCTTGGACGAATCTTGGACAGTTGGAAGACTTGGAAGATCCGAATGCCAGGCTGCGAGGCTGCTTGCTAGTGCTACTGCTACCAGTGCTGCTGCTCATCTAAAACTGCCACGGCTGCTTACTACTGCTGGTTGCTGTCAGTTCCTATTGCTAGTGCCTGTTTCCAATGTCATTCTCAGGGAGTGTCAAAATGACTTTATCCGCGATAAGAATCTTGGTGAAAGTCTACGAGATGTCTTGAAACCTCATGCCCATCCCCAGTCTCAAGTATTGAGTATTAGGTTGGAGGCCATCGCTAGTAGGGTGGAGGCCATTGCATTTTTACATGTGAGCTATGAGTATTAGCTAGTAGCTAATAAGTAGTTAGTAGCAAGAAGTAAGCTCTAAGCGGTTTTCGTCTTAACATGGCTCCCAGCACAACCCAAGCCTGTGGGCCCCGACATGCCCTTCATCTGTCAGTTCTCGAAGGGGTCTTCAATCTTTGCGGCTCATGTGTTTTGCTTGGATTCCAAACCAAGGCATTGGCCAAAATCCATGGGTCCCCCAAACTCAGAAATGATCAAGAACTCTTAGCTGTTCCTCTATATACCCGGGTCGTGAATTTCACCCAGCTTCATGTATTCTCCCACAAAGTCCTCCATCTTCAAGGACGCCTTCGAGAGTTTGGTCCGCAGCCACAGGCTGGCATAATCGCGCAGAATCACAACAAGGGACCTCACCTCTGACAAGACTGCGATCTTGCCTGGGCCGCAGGAAGGCATCTGCGCTGACTGGGACTGGATGGAAACCACCAAACAGGAAATTGCCATCTACTGAATCTTTGTGTTCATGGGTATGAACAGTGTGCCCTTCATTGGCTAGCCAGATTGGCTCCCACCAAGCTCGGTTGAAGTACGTTGACTGTTGGTTTGTTGCTTTTTGTTGCCTCCATCTCCTCCCTTTGCCAGGTCACGGGCTTCGAAGATGGAATGCGCCACCCAAGCCAATGGCTCTGCCTTCACATCCACTGAGCTCAACTGGGGGAAGCATTCCGCCAGACCTCGGGCAAACCGTCGTGCCGCAGCCGTTCTTGGTCCGTCGCGGTCATGCGAAGAGGAGGTCAACACACACGGTGGCGCGGTTGTAAGGACAGAGTACTTATGTGGCAGCAGCAAGGCATGTGCATGCAGCTTCAGCAGCTTAGCAGCAAATTGACCACTGAGGCATGTGCTATAGTCCGTCGCTTCACGCACATGATTGCTGCCAACCCCCGGAGCTAGACAGGCCAAAAGGCCTATCTGAGAAGCCCGACCGCCTCCGGCCGAGCGGCTCTGTCCCTGGCGCGCATAGAAGGACTCCAGGGCCCGAGTGGGGCGACCAGACATGAGCTCCAAGAGGATCCGCACATAGGACTGTCCCGATCCTGGGTCGGGTTCCCAGGGTCGGAACGGCGCACGGCTCGGTCGAATCCAGGTTAACACGGACGTCGGGGAGGTCGAAGATTGTGCCGAGTGAGTTGACCGAGAGATTCCAAGTCCTGCAGGAAAGCGTCCTGCAACCCCGAGTAGTTGTGTTTTCCTTCAATGCCTTAATTCCGAAAGAGAAATCCGAATCTTCCTCACAAAGAGCAGTGAACAACAAATCTTAGTGTACTAATTCTTGTAGAAGAGCATGTGGCTTGGCAAAGCCAAAAGGTTGTTGCACATCAATCTTGCAGACATTTGCAGAATATTGCAGATCTACTGGCCGGTGGTCCGGTACAACTAAAGTATAACTAGTAGCTGGGCTGTGGAACGCATGAAAGACTGATGAAAGAGATTGAGGGCCCAAAAGGAAACGTGCCCTACGCTGTTTCGATGTGTTCTGATGTCTTTGAGTCCGTGTGTTGAAGGCAAACCAAGAGGATCAACAGCGTCCCTTTCAAACTCTAGGCTTAAAGGATCTTAAAAGGCAAGTTTGTTTGTATATATACATCATGTTGATCAATTTTGCCATGACATGACAGTGACATCACGCACAACGTGGAATTCCCGTGAAACAACGCGCCCCCCGAAACCCGGTGCGCATGGAGTACTTCACTCGCACGACGTGTTTGCGTGTTTTTTCAACGAGCTGCCGGGCATGGAGACAATGGCATTGATCTCGCTGAGCAGTGGAAGTCTCCGGCGTTCCAACACGTAGAGCCCGAATTGCGTCAAGTCAGTCATGTGCCTGAGAAGGACCAAAGGCTGAGGAATGTAAGGTGGAGTTTTCATTCTCCTGTCAGTTCGAGAGGGGGGGGGGCATGTCGTTTGGTCTCACCTTTGGAGTCATGAAGCAGCCTGAACGGATCCGTTTGACAAACCGGGGCCAAGTGGGGTGAGCTGAGTCCAGCTGTCAAATCACTTGCAAAAAGGTTCTCGGAAACGCCACCCACGCGCTGTGCCGGACGCCCTCGCCCTCCTCGCCTCGCGTGGGGGGTGGAGCCAGGAGAACAAGCCTTTCAGCTTCAGGTGACCAGCGGCTGAGCCCCAATACTTCTGGCTACCAAAGTCCCCCAGATCCAGGCTCTGAAAAAAGCGTCTGATGGGCAAAGCCTCCGGTGCCGGTGTCGAAGTGTCGAAGCATCGAAGGTAACGTGTCGAAGCATCGGGTGTCTCACCCCACAGGGGGGAACACCATGTGATTCTGCGAACTGAGCCTTTGGGGTGCAACTTCCGCCTGTTTCTCCCAGAGCACATCCTGTGCAAATCCCAGAATGCACATCAATGAACATAAGAAAGAAATCCTTTCCAGCATCGATGGCCTCCATACAGGATGCCACTGGCCAGTCCAGTTTTCACAAAATGCCTCTGCTCCATATGTGCCAGCCCATGCACGAAGCCCACTCGACAGCTTTGTCGGCAAGACACCACGGCCAGATCGTCGCTGGCATCAGTGAGATCGTGGTGAAGCGCCACATGCAAGACCAGGTCCTCCTACACGAGCCAATTGCTCGAACGAACCACGGAAAACTGACCAAACGGATCCAGGAGAATGCTGGAAAAGAGCATGTGTCTCGAGGGAAAACCACCTCTTCCCAGGCGAAGAATTCAATTCTCGCCCTTCGCACCCTCCTTTTGGCCCCCATCCACATCATGTCACGACCAAGATGTTTGCACGTATGCTTCCAAATAGCGGGACCGGCCCAAAGAAGTCAGATCTTCCTTTCAAATCCTTTCAAGTGTCCAACATGTCAAGGGAGACCCCCCTGTCCGTGTGAGCTCAGCGCACAAGCGTCCAAATGCAACATCAATTCGATCTGGCCGTTTGGGGGCATCCTGACCCGTAGGATCCCTTAGGATCCCGAAGCTTGGCTGATTCTGAACCGCACTGCAGAACATCGGCCATGAATCTAAGCAAACAATACAGATATGTAAAGATCTTTGGAACGTCACTCAGAAATCAGACTAGCTTCGCGATCCATTTTGTTGGTCTTGTCTGGCACACAGGGTCAAGCAAACGGCGCCTCGGCTTCCAGGGCCATCGCATGCGCCAAGGAGAGAGCCAGTGCCTGAAATGGGTGCAAAGGAAGAATCGTGGCGCTGCCTGGCCTCCGGTTCCGCCCTGAAATGGGAGTCGGTTCCACCAATTCTCTCCGGTTCCACCACCAGGTCCGTTCGGTTGCCTTCAAACCGGCAGGTGACACAGGGTAGTATTCATACCGAGTCCGATCTCAAAGCCTCAAGAGGGGCTTACGTGTGCTGGGGTACGTATAGTCCAAGTCATGGCCATGAGTGGCTTCTCTTGAGGGCAAAAAGCACATGGAGGAACTACAATCTCATCGCCCCCCAAAGTCATCTTTATTGAAGTCCTTGTTTGGGGTTTCATGTTCACTTTCCACCAATAGTGGGGAAGCATTCAAGTAGGAAGATGTTCAAGAAATACATGTGGGTCGAACATCAAATGGTGAGGCAGACTGACATATTCGGAAAAACATCCCGTTTCTGCCAGTCTCCCACAATTTCACCCCACGGGCGATTTGTGCGCTTCCCTGCGCCTCCCAATGCGGATGTTCCCACGCACCGTGCGGCTCGGTCTCCTCCGTCGCGGAACTCGTTCCGTCCACAAAGGTCGTAGCGCTCAGGTCGTAGCGGTCAAAGGGGAGGATCAGCACCTCGGTCACTCGGCTATGGCGGTAATTGAAACATTTACCTTGGGGAAATTAGAGTGCTTCAAGCAAGCGCGCGCTTTGATGACATTGGTTTCTAGCTGAGGTGATGGTTGAGATAGGGTCAAAAACGATCAGACATGGCCCTAGTCTTAACCATGCATCGCGTCATCATGTCAACTAGAGATTGGAGGTCGCTAGTTGCATAACCTCGTTCAGCACCTTGCAAACAATCAAAGTCTTCGGGCTCCGGAAAAGGATGGTCCCAAGGCTAAAACTTATCCGGAGCATGCGGCTTAACTTGACTCAACATGGGGAAACTTACCAGGTCCGAATCCGAACATAGTAAGGATTGACAGATTGATAGCTCTTTCTTGACTTTCTTAGTTGGTGGAGTGATCTGCCTGGTTGATTCCATTCACGAACAAGACCCTAACCTACTAAAAAAATTAGCAGCTATAAGACTTAGAGGAAGAAGTCGGAACAAGGTTTCCACAGGTGAACCTGCGGAAGGATCCTTCGCACCGATCCACATGAAGCACCAGTGGTTGAGGGGCTGACTTGCACCAGTGGCTGCGCGTTCAACTCGAGGGCTGAAGGACGCTAGTAGCGTCCTTGCTCCTAGTCGTATGGCCAGGAGCTACTAATAGCATCCTTGCTCCTGGTAGCGTCCTTGCTCCCGGGCCGCCCGGGCCGTTGGTGAAGGCACTTAGAATCTGTGGAACGGATCTGTGGGCTAAGGCAGCTATGAAGGGCGCAGCGAAACGCGATAGTCTTTGTGAATTGCAATCCGTGAACCAATGGCCTCCTGAATGCGCATTGCACTCTTGGGACTTCCGTTTGCTCCAGTGCTTATTTTCCCTGGTTCCGCGTGGAGGAGTTCGGGCGAAGAAGAGGGAGGCAGAGTTGGGAGGGGACGGAGTTGGGAACGTCCAAGTGCCCGAAATTGCGGGCAGAAGGAAATTAGGGGAAATCTTAAGATGGATCCTATTGCTCCCTTCATCCCTCACTTTGAGGTGTCTCTGGTATAGAACCAAACATGCCAAAGCCATCTAAAGAAAGAACAAAAAAAGAGGCTTGTCCCCCAAAAAAGAGGTTCGGACCAGCTGCCTCATCCAGCTTATCTTTGCCACCCCGGTTCTTCGGATCACCTTCCTTCCACATCCAAGGCCAACAACCTGGCCGCCAAAGGTACCGCTCGGCTGCTTTTGATGTCCTCACTGTAGTTGGCCATCACTTCAGCTCGCGCCAGCAAAAAGTCTTGTGGCAAGTCCAACAGCCAGATAATGCTACACCTGCAGGAGCAGAACGGATTCTGAAAAAAAATAGGCGTGTTGTTTTACTCAAGCGCATGCTTTTGAGTTGGTTTGGAACTTGATTGAAAAGTACTTGTTTATTTATGAGTGAAGCTGGTGCTTGTACCGTTTGAGGGCTCATATCTGGCTTCACTGAATCATGGTACTGAACTGGAGAATGGCAGAAAAAGAAGAGCGGGCAGCAGAATGGAAGGTAAAGAAAGTCTGACCACTGCATCGATCCACATCATTTGTTGGCGCCTCATGTCCAAAGCCCGGCACAGAAACTGGGCCACCTGGTGTCCGAGCGCTCCTCGCACCAGAACGATACTCTTTCGTTGTTCCATCACATTGGAGAATTCCGCGTTCTGGGACAGATCGTTCAAGATCTCCTGACAGGGAGATCCGCGTCACGGACGACCAGTTCGACCTCAAGCACTGGTGAGGGCGCCGCCCTTGCCCTTGGGCGCGCCGCCCTTGGGGCAGAGAAGCTGTAGGTGCCATCGATTGAACCAGATGTTGCTTGGAAGAATTGATCAGAGATGCGCTCCTTGCCCTGGGTGCCTTGAGATGATCAAAGCATCAAAAAGCCCCAGTCTCCGAGCAGCCCCTTCAATTGAGCCCCAGGCTCCAACCCGTCAGAAGACCAATCTATCAATTCTTCACTTCACATCCCCCGTGGCGTTTCATCTGCGCAACACCCCTCCTTGGTGGCACGTCGCTCCTCATACGACCCGGTCGGCGCCTCCGCAGTCTGCGTCGCGTCGCCAAAGACCGTGACCAGTCGCAAGGTCCCATCGATGGTGGTCTCGGTGAGTTGGGAACGATCAATCATCTCCAAGGTCTGTAGATAGCCTGAGGCATCCATCAAACCAGCGCACATGTCACAGACAGACCCCTCATGTGAGTGTGTGGGCGTGCAAAAGGTCGCTTCTGACCCTCTGTCAAGATCTTAGGAGCTTCACAAAATAATATCAAAGACTGAACATGCACTGGCCTCACCCCACCAGGTCGCCCGGGTGAAAACGACACGCTCGAGACGCTGAGACAGCCGTTCTGTCGTCCGCCGGGTCGTCCGCCGCCGCTTCTGTCGGCTGCGCGGCACGCTCGCAGCCCAGGTGCCACGGGCGTCCTGGCGAGCAATGCCCAAAAAATTATTGTTTCTAATAGCAAACATTGTTCCTAGTAATTCCTAGTAGCGTACTAGTAAGGCACTTGTTACAAGAAGCGATGCACTTGTTCCTAGTAGCTTCTTGTTTCTAGTAGCAAACATCGTTCCTAGTACGGCCAGGAGCCCCGTTCGTAGCGTCCTTGCTCCGTTCGTAGCGATGCCCTTTGCTCCTAGTAGCGTCCTTGAAGAAACTGCTACGGACGTAGCTTCTTGCTACTAGTAATGCACTTGCTACGTTCGTAGCGATGCCCTTGCTACTATAGTAGCGATGCGCTTGTTACTACTAGCTGTTCTTAGTAGGGATGCACTGACTGAGTCTAGATCATTACATGACTGTGATGGTGTTTGCTTTTTATGCGTGAAGAGTCTGAACAATTGATGGGCACACCCCAAGAAAAACAGCATCCCTCGCACCCGGCCCTGAAGCATCCCAAAAGACTGGGATGCCAATATTCACCACCAAACTTGAGTGGGTTGTGCCATCGAAGCTATTCAACAAGTCTTCGACTCCCAACTCGACTCCTACAGATTCATCGACCACTTCCAATAAGGGCTCGGTCGCCGGCAGCAGCCTGAGCCTGGTCTCCGCTGTTGCAAGACTCGCGGCCCAGAAAACCAGCTCGGACAACCAGACATTGGCCTTGCTGGTCTTGGTCCCTCTGAAGTCTAAGGACAGCTCTCCACACCTGGGTGTGTTTGATTGGACGGTTTGGGTTTGGGGGAAAAGAAGCAGCGATGCCAGGAGCCCCGTTCGTCGCGTCGTTGCTCCGTTCGTAGTAAGGCCAGGAGCCCCAACAAAAGTGGGGAAAAAAAAAAAGCACCAACTGGGGTCCTTCGGAGAATTCTTGGCCAACAGCTTCTGCCGGTGCTCAGCACCTCGGCCCTCCAGAATTCCATGCCCAAGCCACCTGACGCCAGCGGCGTAGACCTTGGACAGCGTGCGGCCGCATTGCCGGTGAAGACTGGCTGCCGCACTGGCTGCACTGCTCGCAGCGAAGTCTGCGGAATACCACCCATCATCGCTAAGGCCAGGCAGGGCCAGCGGGGCATGTCCAAAGGAGGAAGGGTCCGGAGCGAAACGAAGTCGAGTGGTACCTGGACATGAGAGCCGAGCGAATAATGCTAACAACTTCTGCAGAACCCGTAACTTGAGTGTTTTGGGATGGTCCTGCTTTTTTTGAGACTGTTTGAAGAGGTTCATGAATGGGTTGGTTTGCCTCTGCAGTAGCACAGTCCAATACCGGGCAGCCTGAGGCTCGAGCTTTGTTTCCCTAAACTCTCCTATGACAAGTCTTCCCTTGACCCACTCTCTATCCCGGCCACTTCATTTTTGTTACAAACCATCTTCGAAAAATGAGTTCAAGGTCAACAAGCTCCTATTCTCGCACCATCTTCCCAAAGACAAAGGAACATGAAGAGATGAAGCCGATCCAAATTCACATGGCGCTGCGTCTTCTTGGCAAGGCACTTAGCAGGCACATCCACTGCGCAGGCACCATCTCGCTCGTGCCGCTCGCAGCGCGCGCGCGTTCGCAGGCGCTGCGGAGCTTGGCAGGACCATGGGCCACACAGGTCGGCCCCCCCGTCGCTGGGAGACCACCGCGAGATGAAGCTCGGAAGCTTCGGAGTCCAGGGATAGGGATGCTACCATGCTGAAACAACCGCAGGGGTTGACCTTTTTTGGAAGGCTGCAATCCAGCTGAAATGAGAAGCTGAGGAAGCAAACATGCACCACCATAGAACCGGGCCAAGTCAGACGTCGTGGCGATTTCATGTGAATCGCCGTGACGGGCAGTGCAGCTCGGATCTGCGAAAGTGAAGAACAGGGTCTTGAGACCAAGAACAGATTTCTGAACAAGTTCAAAAGCGGAAAACTTGTGTGGTCTGGTTGTGTTTCCGAGTGGTCTGGATGTTACGGAAAACCATGGCAAATGTCCAGCCGTTGGAATGTGGTTCTCATGAATGGATCTCATGAAGCTACGTCCTGACATCTGTCCGACATCAAACTCACATGGTCGTATCTGTCCTCACGACAGATGAGGAAACAACAATGGTCGGTTTTTGGTCGGCCAGGTGGTTTCTTGGAGTAACGGGTCCCATGCCACCCAGATCTTGTCCCAGTACCTCACGCCACGCGTCACAGCGGGTTTTGGGCCCAGTGACGCCTTTAAGCTGATGATCCCTGACATGTCCTCATCGATATGCCTCGACTCTGCACAGCATACAACGCAAGGCACACAAGTAGGTATCTCTTGGGTCGAAAAATCATGCAAAATCATTGGAAAGTACAGAAATCTCTCGATTCATGATCTCATTGATTCATATCAAAAACAACATCCAGCTGCACACACCGGTCACCAAAACTCCAGACAGCTCCAACTCACAGCTCCGCGGCAGTAAACGGCCTCCAGGCACCCGCGACATTGCCGTGGAAATTCAGCTCCTCGAAGCAGCGCCGGAACTCGTTCCAGGAGACGCTGTTCGAGTCCTTGGGGCCACGGGACGAGACGGTGAAGGCGTGTTCGAGTTCTCCGTGGAGAGACAAGGAAGAGACGAAACAGAGGTGAAAGGGACGAAGACTGACAAGATGCTGGTGTCGCCTCGCAACACCAACCTCTCCAGCAATCGAATCAGCCAAAGAATCACCGAGAAAAGCCACGCCAGCCGGATCCAGCCGGGTGTGATGTGTGACCTGTGCCGTCATAAACCTCTTCAGAGTTCGCCGTGGCCATCGGTCGGAACGGCCGCCCGTCGCCGAGGCACGTCTTGGTCCAGACGCTTCCGCCAGGCTCTCAATGGATGGCCCTCGAGGTCTCTGGAGTGGAGGCGACGGTCGTCGGCTCTCGTGACGGTCGTGAGCACCGCAGCGGTTGCATGGTCCGTTTGGACGATCCAAATGAAGAGAGGTCGCATGGTTCATTTGGTTCCATTTTGTGGAGTGTATCTGCGGTTTCTGCCATTTCTGCGTTCTTCACAGTGTCCCATTGGAGACAGCGAAGTTGCTCTTGCATCATGTTAAATATCTCACCCCATGAAACTGGTGTCAAACATGTCGTTTCCTTTAATCTTCGAAAGATCCACGCAGAACCTCGGTCAAAAGCTAGGGGGGGGGCTGTCCGCTACGATCCTCCTCCGATCGTCCCAGGCACGGACCAGCAAAGCCTTCAGGATCGCAAACTCTTCCTGGGGAGGCGAAGCTCGAAAGGGTGCGAAGGATGGCTGAAAGAAGGATGCGAATTCGCTGGACCCGTTCGACGACGTGAAGAAGTTGATCGCATGTTTGGGAGATCAAAGGATCAGTGAATCAGTGACCAGTGAAGGTTCGACTACATGAAAGATGTCAGATCCAAGACGGGTCTAATTTCCCGAGGGCCAGTTATATTAGCCTTTAGGTATCACAATAAAAAATAAGCAATGGAGGCACAAAACCTCGATTTTTTTGCGGGATGTGGACCGAAGAAGTGTCCAAGAAGTCAAGGTCGGTCATTGGAGTGGAAATGAACAAAAGCTGAAACCTTCGGCAGACTCATACCTGACATACACATCCAAACAAACATTGGAAAACTGCAGGAAGAAGGATCAAAAACAGAAAACAACAACATGGTGTTTGTTCTTCCTGAGCTGGGTGCATTTCACCTACATATGCCGTCCTCACATGCGGTGCTTTCTCGGATCACTCTCCCTATCTTCTCGCATCCCTCGAAACGCGCAGGACGCTCGCCTTCGGCGCGTCCGCGCGCGCCGGTCTCTCTCCGTCTCTCCCGCAAGCTTCTCCCGCTCCAAGCCGCGGCATCGGGGTTCGCGGTGATCCACTCCGTCGGCTGCCAGTGATCCAACCAGACGAAGTCCTCGCGGCTCACGAAGCCACAGCCATACCTCTAGCGCGGAAGACGGACGCCGGTCGGCCGAATTCGGGTGAGGGGGCCAGCGGTGTTCGGTTGGGGGGGTGCTGGGTGGATGATTGGTTGAGAAGACAAGTATAAATAGTATATTTCGAAGGACCATGGAAGCCAATAGTTTGCTTTATAAGCGGATTGAAGACTGAAATCTAAGGAAGCATATATGACCCAGTCCAACTAAAACCAAGTACAGAACCTTGGATGAGTCTGCTTAGTCCTCAGTCTATTCATAGTAGGGTCCTGAACGCCAGTTGTCTATTCTGAGTACCATGCAGGTTGTCCCTTTCCGCTTCCCAATTTTGCTACCTTGTCCGAACCCACCTGTCACCCCTCGCTGTCCAAACCAAAAGCATGGTTAGGGGTAGGGTCAGCGTCAAGTTCGGAAACTAAAAGGTTGGGTTCAGAAGGGTTCGGAAACTTGTCTTGGGAAACTTAGAATGTGGGTTTCGGAATTGAAACCCAGGAGTTCGGAAACGGGAAACATGGAGTTCGGTAACTTGGGTTCGGAAACTAGGAACGTGGAGTTCGGAAACGAGAAACGTGAGATTCGGCAACTGTGGTTCAAAAAATAGATACGTGATGTTCGGAAGCTCGAAAAGTTGAATTCGGAAACTGGAACCGTGCAGTTCGGAAACTGGAAGCATGACGAATTCTGTTTTCATACCATGTTGGCTTCTCCACCTCCCTAACTTCGTTTTCCTCAACAACTCCTCAAGTTGAAGTGCTTTTAGGCTGCTAAGAAAGGTTTGCCCACATAAACATCACGTCAATATCCCCCGACCCACCCACCGAAGGAATCAGTGGGCCGAAGACCAAAAAAACGGGGGTCTGTGAATTGGTGCAAAACAGTTTCTGAAACTGACCAAACTAGTTTCTGAACCCACAGAAAACCCGACAAAACCAGTTTCTGAACCTGCCAAAAATTGTTTCTGAACCCACAGTTTCTGAAGCCGACAAAAATGGTTCTGAACCCAAAGAAACAAGTTGCTGAACCCGACAAAACGTGTTTCTAAACACGACAAAACCCGTTTCTGAGCCGCAGTTTCTGAACTGTAGTTTCTGAACCCATGGTTTTAGTTTCTGAACCCTAGTTTCTGAGCCTGGGCCAGTTTCTGAACTTGACTTTGTTCGTTGGGGCAGTTTCCTTGGGTCATCAAGCATTCTCTTTCAGCAGCTTTGGAGGAAATCGTGGCCGGCAAAACTTGGCTGCGGAAGTCTTCCTCTTGAAACCAAGTCTGTCAGCACCCCACAGTTGATTGGGAAGTCGTTTGAAATCGATTCGGATTCTACATTCTAAACTTGAAATCTCATAGCCAACGCGGACCCCACCCTATTATGTGCATCGCACAGGCGACGCATCCAACGAGCTCAAGAGCAAGGCAGGTACCTTGGCATCAAGGGTGCAGCGGTGAGGCGGAACTCATGGCTGGTATGTTCAACTTTGGAAGGTATGGGAGATGTGGTCTCAACATGTTGAAAGTGAACTGTGGGGCCCCACTGTGGAATGTGCTCAAGTGATGTCAAGATTCAGCTTCCAACCTGCTCCACTGGCCTTCAATGTTCCGTCGCTCGGCCTCCTATCGCCTTGTCCATCGACCGCACACCCTACGGCATACATTGAACAACCGTCGATTTGTCCGTGTTGTGCACATGACTCTGTTTCATCACATGACTCTGTTTCATCACATGCTCAGTTCATGTCGCCGGCTTCATAAACAAGAAGACATGGTGGGCACGACCCCGAAGATTTCTGGCGATCGTCGAAACTCTTGCTCATCGGCTGGTGGTTTTTGGTCAAGTCTTTCAGCACACTTCCATGCTCAGGCAGACTCTAAGGCTGTGCTCCTTTGCCTCACCAGGCTCCGTGTTTAGGCTCCTAGACTCACGTCTCCCAGACTCTCGGGAATGGAAGTCCCTGGCTTTGATCGGGATCAAGTCTCCGGGTTCGATTCGCCTCACCAAAAGAAACATGTTTGACCTCATGCCCTCCTTCTTCATGAACCCGTACTGCTCCAAGGCGCTGATCGGCAATAGTTGCTCTTCAAGACCGCGGACAAATGGCCCAACCTCAGCTGCAAAGCATCCAAAGTTTGGAAACCACCAGAAGACTCCAAGACTTTCAGTTGTATCTCCAGAGAATCCTCATTGAAATGCTAGCTCCCTCTTCCATCACCCCGTCAAAAACCTCACATCCCTTTCCATCGTGCCCCTGTGCCGCCCAGGGCACAGCATCTTCTTCTCGGAGCGCCAGCGGCCCTCGCGCTGCGGCGTGCGGCGCGCCTCCTGCAGTTCCGGGGTGTCCCAAAGCTCGGCACAGCTGCCTCGAGGGATTCGAAGGGAGACAGGGCGAACTAGCCAGACCGGTGTTGCAAACGGCGAGGCGATGAAGGTGTGGGTGTTTTTTTCAAGGCTTGGAGAGAGGATTGAGGAGATTGGATTGGCAAACTGCGAACATACCCTGTGTATCCTTGGATTCTTCCACATCTCACATTAGAGGTGAAGCTGCAAGGTGGATAAACCTGCCCCACCAAGCTTAGGAAATGAAACACATTCTGCTCAACCTCCGGCGGGATCGTGGAAATTCCCATCAACTGCTGCCAAGCGGCCACTGAGGTCTCGAGCCCACCTGAAAGTGGATTTGAAGAAAAAACGATGAGTTTCCGCTTTAGGTGGCTCCACGACTTGAAGATCTTAGCTTCATAGATGCTTTTTTTGTGTTCAATGGTTGATTCCAAGCCTGTCAAATCTGATGAGATATGATCTGATGACCTGGACCCACGGTCCGGTGGATTGCAACCAGCCCTTCGTTTCGTTTGGATTGCAACCAGTCTGCAGGTCTTGGTTTGTATTGGCATTTCTGTGAAAAGAGCGACTTCAGTGTGAAATTCATGATCCACCAAAGGTAATTGAATCTGAAGCGGCCAAACAAGAAGGCGGTTTTGGGATGTTCTACTCAAGACAGATCACAAATTGTCCCACTGGTGTTTGTTTTTCATCGGCATGAAAGTCAAGATGAAATGCATGTCACTTCGTAGCCGTTAGGTCACCATCAACACCATCAACATACATGCTCTGGGTTTCAGGATTTCCCG